GATGACTTCAGCAGATGGACATGGGTTAAGTTTTTAAAACACAAGGATGAGTCACATTCTGTGTTCATTGACTTCTGTAACCTAGTGCAAAACGAAAAGGATTTTAGAATTATAAAAGTCAGAAGTGATCATGGTGGAGAATTTGAAAACCATCTTTTTGAAAAATATTTTTAAAAAAATGGTATTGTTCATAATTTCTCTTGTCCTAGAACTCCCCAACAAAATGGAGTTGTAGAACGAAAGAATAGAACATTATAAGAAATGACTAAAATAGAGTGCACGCACCAAGTGAGATGGTCCTAGAACAAATGGTCAATGCATGCGCCATCTCACTTGTCTCCTCCTTTGTGGGGTTTTCTGAAACATGATTATTTGCGTAATTTTCTTCGAAACATGGTTATTTGCGAAAAAAATTTCAATACCTGATTATTGCAAAAAAATTCTAAACATTTTGGATAATCAATTAATATAGTTATTTTTTTATTTGTCTTGGTGGGTTGTGGTAATTCTGTCTAAAATATTTAACGTCTTAGTGGGTTTATTTAAATTTAATTAGTAATTAATTAATAGGTAAATTAATACAGCGGGTTTATTTTATTTAATTATTAAAAAATTAATAAATATAATTTATTTAATTATAAAAAAATTAATAAATATAGAAATAAGAAAAGAATTTTGATAGTAGAAATAGTAGGATTATAACTTTTTCTTATGCCGGTCAAAAAAACCTTATTCTTATGAGTAATTGTTATATAGATTTTTTTTAATTTATTTTAATTAATTAATTAAATTAAATTTTATTTATTGATTAATGAAAAGAATAAAATTTAATAATATTAATTTTAATATTGAAATTTTGGGGTGGGAAAATTTGACGTTTTCTGATTTATTTTAATTATTTAATAAAATTGATTTCTATTAATTAATGAATTTATAAAAAAATATAAGTGGTGGAGGTGGAGGTAGGAAAATGAATTAATAATGGTAGAAGATAAAAATACCATTTAACCTTAAAGATTTTGGATAATTAATTAATGTGGTAATTTTTTTATTTGTCTTAGTGAATTATGGTAATTTTGTCGAAGTTTATTTAAATTTAATTATCAATTAATTAATAGGAAAATTAATAGAGTAAGTTTATTTTATTTAATTATTAATAAATTATTTAATTGACGGAAAATTTCGATAGAAGAAATTGTAGGATTAGAATTTAAGATGGAAAATCTAATGTTTTATATTTATTTTAAGAGTTAAAAGATACTGCAGTGATAATGTAAAATAATTTTATATTATCGTTCAGTGAAAATTTACCATTTTTCCATGTCATATAATTTATTTAAAAATAATAATATAATTTGGTAGTTTACATGACTGTGATTGATTTTATTTTACATTGTTAGTGTTAGAACAATATTGGTTCTTATCATATCTCAGAGTTTTGATGATAACAATAAATTATATTTCATATAATTGATACTCTGATGAACGTATTTAATTGTTTCAGATAATGTTCTGACAGAAGCATTTTGATGTGCTGAGCTGAAAATAAATGAAGAAGTTCTTTGATGAAAGAACTATTTGTTTTAAGCGCAAGTGCTGATGCTGACTCTGGTAAGATATTTATTTAAATACATCTTCTAACGCTTAGCAAGTTTCTGTGTAAGCTATGTTTCAGAAGCTCTTTGAAAACAAGCGCTGATCAGAAGTACTTAGTAAGCAAGCGTTGTTTAGAAGATATGTAAGCATGTTCTGATTCAAGACGTGAAGCTAAGTTCTGAAAGAATGTAAAAGCTAACAAGTCTTGTCAAGCTTCAGGAAATATGCTCTTACAAGTGTCGTTTGCTCATTTAATGTAAAGACGGCTACATGCACTTAAGTGTCTACGCTAGTTTATTGGAAAATGGAATAGTGCAAGGAATCACGCAAACATTTAATGCTCTCCACATTTGAAGGCAGCAACAGTCATTTTGTTCTTACTATATATAGAAGGACATTTATTGCAAGTCAACTACTTAGAGAACTAATCAATTTCAAAAGAAGCAAGAACTACGTGAATATTCTGGGCTCACAAATCATTTTTTCATACACTTTGTGCAATACTATTCTTAGTGAAAAATCACAGTTGTGATATAGCTTTTTTAGAAGCAAACTTTGTTTCACTATCTGTAAAGATTTAACTATTGCAATTGTTCCTTGAGAGATCAAGTTTGGTCAGATTTCTCAAGTAGACTAGGACTAATTTAAGTCTTAGTGGTGTGAGTCACTTGTAAGATTACTTGTGCATTGTTAGTCATAATAGTTGTTGTGTGATTGTAATCAGTTGATTATAGTGAATTAAGTAAGTCCTTGTTGAGAAAGGCGAAATCACCTTGGCGGGTGAACTGGAGTAGTTTGAGTTCAAACGAAACATGATAAAAATAACTGTGTCTTTTCATTATTGTTGAGTCTTTAAGGAAAAGAAAAAGAGAAACTTATTCAATCCCCTTCTAAGTGTTTTCTTACCCTTCAGTTAGTGTATATATTTTATTCTCTTATTTTAATTATTTAATAAAATGATTTCTATTCATTAATAAATTTATAAAAAATATTAGTGGTGGAGGTGGTTGAGAGAAAAAAATAAATAATAATAGTAAAAGATACAAACACCAATTTAACCTTAATGATTTTGGATAATTAATAAATGTGGTAATTTTTTATTTGTCTTAGTGGGTTATGGTAATTTTGTCTAAAAAGTTTAACGTCTTAGTAGGTTTATTTAAATTTAATTATCAATTAATTAATAAGTAAATTAATAGAATAAATTTATTTTATTTAATTATTAACAAATTAATAAATAGAGAAATAGGAAAAGAATTTTGGTGGAAATTTTTGATAGAAGAAATTGTAAGATTATGATTTAGTATGATTATATGAATTAAATTGATATGTAATAATGTAAAGATATTTTAATTATCATTTAATTATAATTGTTAGATTTTTATAAATGCTTGATTTTTTTAAAATTATATATCAACTATGAATATGAATAATCTATGAATATGAATAATTAATATTTTTGAAATTGGATTGGTTATCAAATAGGTGAAGATATTAATTTACTATTTTATTGGTTGAACCATTATATTATTGGTCAAGTAGCATGATTAAATCGAATTAAATCAGATAATTAAATAAAATAAATTGATTTATATAATAAAATTATATTATTGTTAGACTGACAAACCAAAATGAATCGGTCTCTAAAAGTATCGGCTAAATAAATTTTAAAATATCATAATTTTACAATTTTATTTTTTAAATTAAAATTTTGAACTTAGTCATCCCATATATAATAAAATAATACAAAATATAAAGTGAAATAAAATTTTAGCAAACCTTAATATTAATTACGAAGTTAATTTGTATTTTAATTTTATTTTTCAATTTTTTTTATCAAAACGGTGTTGTTTTGTCGAAGAAAAGCAAAACTATTTAGCTACTAATTTTTGAAACTCATTCAATAACTTACTTAATCCAATAATCAGAGCAAACTAATAATTTATTAATCTAGGTTTTGAAACTGTGAGATAGCTTAAAATTCTTTAAACGGATTGTTCATAGTAATTAAATATTTAAAATATTAGAGATCAACTTACTTCAAAAATAAATATATTTAATTTACTTCACAATTTTTATCTTTAAATTATATTAGATTTAATTTAATAATTAATGCTAATTATAATTTTTAATCATTAAATTAAATCTAATTTAAAGATGAAGATTTTGGATACCCACTTTTATATTATATATATATATATATATATATATATATATATATATATATATATATATATATATATATATATATATATATATATATATATATATATATATATATATATATATATATATATATATATATATATATATATATATATATATATATATATATATATATATATATATATATATATATATATATATATATATATATATATATATATATATATATATATATATATATATATATATATATATATATATATATATATATATATATATATATATATATATATATATATATATATATATATATATATATATATATATATATATATATATATATATATATATATATATATATATATATATATATATATATATATATATATATATATATATATATATATATATATATATATATATATATATATATATATATATATATCATCAGGTCTCATACAAACTGAGTTAAAAATATTTTTTCTAAAATTATGGAAATAATACTTTAATAATATTTAAATTAAATGCATTAACAAATTGAAAGGATCTAAAAAAAGTTTTTTTAAGAAAAGGTTAAAGGGATCGATAAAAAAAGATAGTGGATTAAGTAGTTACTTTAAGTGAAATTTAGATTTTTTTTCTAGTAGTTAGAGGTAGAAATATTAGTTTTTATTAAATAATTTAAATTTATATAAAAAATTACCGAGCTTTGATTAGACATTAAATTATTCTTCAATTATTTAATAATCTTTATATACTTAAGATAAAATAAGATATTTATATTTATTATTTAATAATTAAATATTCCAAAATATTTAAAACATATTATTAAGAATAACAAATCAAAGATTTTTACGGCAGAAAATATTGGGCTTATTAGGATTGCTTTGAACAGTCAAACGACACTTATATAAACTAGTAGAAACCTTATTTTGTTTCTGAGTTTCAAAATTTTCTCCAAAGCTTTGAACAATACTTTGGTTTTTTCTTATACGTAGGTTCGTACGATGATGTTATTTTACCTTCTGTTTCTGTTTTCGTCATTCATTAGGGTTACATTTTATTAAGATTATTGAGTTCTTAATGAAGAATGTTCAATATATGATAAAACTTGATTATTATTATTATTATTGTTATTATTATTAGTAATTTTAAACCATCATGTTTTTTTTGCTTATAGTTTTTTTGTTTTTGTTTTCCTTTTGCAGTTAATCGGTTATCATCTATTATCATTCAATATGGTATGTTAATTTTTTTTTTTTTTTAGTTTATGTGTTGTTGATTCAGAATATATTTTAATGTTGAGTTTTTGTTTGTTGTTTACTATGGTTATTGATGTGGTTGTATAATCTGTTTTTTGTTTTGTTGTAGAATTCTGATGAAAATCAGTTGAATGAGGATATGCCTGAGGATCAGGTGAATAATCTTTCATCTGAAAGTGATTCATCTAGTAATGACTCATATGATTACGACGATGAATATCAGTTAGCCGAGGATGATTTTCATGACGATCCCAGGAATCTGCGGAATGCTTACCTAGATAGCTGGAATGAGGCTTATTTTGAGGCTTATAATGAGCATATTGGGGATATGGGACAGAATGCCATTTTTGAGCATGCTTACAGTTGTTTTTCGGTCTCGTCTCTTGATAGGGTATGTCATTGAATGCTTCTCAAATGTAATGCTTTTATTATCATTTTGAATCAAAGTGTTATTGTATGGATCATCTTTCTAAAATGTTCAATAAGACTGATTCTTTCTTATTTCGGATTTTCTGCAGCCAATTCTGGAAAACGGTGATAAAAGTATGTGCACTAACATCTTACTTGGTTACATTTTTTATTCTTTGGTATAGACATTGTGTTAATTTCAATAGCTAATGCGAATTCTTTTTTCTGTCAGTTATCATGCCCGCTTCAGCTCTAGATCGCCTGAGTAAGCTTATATTTGTCACTCAAGTTTCAACGATTTGATTATTTTTTCCCCTCGTTTTGAATTCGTTCTCTGACTCTTGTTTAAATCTTGCAGCACATATGAACATTGAATATCCAATGTTATTTGAACTGAAAAATCCTTCTGCTGAAAGAACTACTCACTGCGGAGTTTTAGAATTCACAGCTGACGAAGGGAACGTGTACTTACCAGATTGGGTATACATGTTTTCCTTTCATTATATCATATTTATTTCTCTGAGGTTAATTGAGTAACCACTTTTATTAACAAATGTGATGTTTTGTTGTAATTTTCAGATGATGGAAGATATGCTCTTACAGAATGGAGACACTATATCTCTGAAAAACACAAGTCTTGCCAAAGCAAAGTTTGTGAAGCTGCAGCCTCACACCAAAGATTTTCTCGATGTCTCTAATCCAAAAGCCATGTATGAATAATAATTGAATATCATAACTAGTTACATGTTTCTTGAATATCATATTTGTGTTAACTAATATCTTGTTTGATTCTGACCCTTGATCATTTGCAGGTTAGAAATTGCATTGAGGAGTTACTCGTGTTTAACAACTGGTCGCACTATAATGATTCCATATAACAACAAAAAGTATTACATTGATGTGGTTGAAACAAAACCTTCTGAGGCAATTTCTATAATTGAAACAGACTGTGAAGTTGATTTTGCCCCGCCTCTTGATTACAAAGAACCTGAGAAGAATTTGCCATCTGACTTGTCTGACAATAAATCTTCACAAGGTTTGGATTCTTTTATTATCTTTTGGAATATGTTTAAAGAACTTTGTGTGTTTGTTTTCAAGTTAAGATTTCAACTATATATAAAATGCATTTCAGTTGAAGAAGAGGCAGCAACAAAAACTCCTAGGGTGATTCCGTTCAGTGGTTTGGGAAGGCGTTTGGATGGAAAAGCGTCGACACAGTCAGTTGAACCAAGTTCAACTCCAATTCTAAAGCAGCAACAAACTGAAAATAAAACCAAGAGTTCCGTTAATACTTCTGGAAAGCTTGTTTTTGGATCAAATGCAAATGCACCTAAAGTTTCTCGAAAAAATGAAAGTCACGAGTCACCTAAGAAAACAGACACCCCAGAATTCCAAGCTTTCACAGGAAAGAAGTATTCATTAAGAGATTGATCCTTATTGGATTGTTTTTCAGTTTGATATTAGGACAGTTTAGTAGACATAACTTAGAGTTAAGTTTAGAAGTTACTCTCGAATATCCATTGCTTTATTCGTTGTAACATATGATTATAATTATTTCCAGAAGGATTACTATTAAAGTCTTGTTTGATTTACTTGGCCCAATAAAATCCTTTGCCTATTTCCACTTTTTGTGTGTGTATATAAGCTATGCTTTTACAGTTGTTTCGATTGCAACCTTGTAGTTAACAATCTCATTCTTCTCGACATGCCTCTCCTGTACTACGCACCGATGTACCCACCTGCGTGACATTTACATGCAGTAACATGCCTGTGAGTTGTAACTCAATGATTTTTCAAAAAAACAAAAAGGTGGTATTTCAGTTTAGTGTTGAGCCATGCTTCATGTTCACTTCTTTGTCCATGAACTATATCCTCCACCTGCCTATCTATATTTAATTGGCAAAAACCACACATATCATACTTCAATTGACGGGATGCATAGTCTACCACCTAGCCATTCTGCATTACTACACATCATAAGCCCTTCTTCGAAGCATCATTGAAAACTTCGTACTTTTGCGTCGGATCAGGAGTAACTAACACAATTTCTTTTTCATCTTTTAGAAATTAGTAACAAACTCGGGCGTTCACATAGGTCTAATCTGATACCTGCAATTGTTTCACTAAAATCATTATTTTGATCATGAATATTTGGATCATAAATATCATATTTCGCAAATAAAAATAATAACATAAATATAAGAAATTTTTTTGGAATACCAAAATTATGTTTGTTTACGTTACTATAGTAAATATATTTGTATCAATGGTAAATTTTATTTATAAAAACTGTACATCAATAATATAATTTGTAATTTGAAGAAAAACGTTTATGATACGGACGCGAATTATCAACAATACAACAACTACGTCTTATTCTACTAGGTGGGGTCGGCTACATGTATCAAATTTCGCCATAATGTTCTATCAAGGACCATGCTTCTATCCAAATCATTAATTTTGAGATCCTTCTTGATAACTTCTCTTATAGTCTTTTTGGGTCTTCCTCTTCCTCGAACTGTTTGTCTTCTCTCCATCTGGTGTACTCTCCTTACTATAGAGTCTACATGTCTTCTCTCTACATCCAAACCACCTAAGTCTATTTTCCACCATCTTCTCTATAATAGGCACTACTCCAACACTCTCCCTAATAATTTCATTTCTAATTTTATCTGGTCGAGTCTTAGCACACATCCAGCGCAACATCCTCATCTCTGCTATACCTACTTTATTCTCGTGTTGGTTCTTAATCGCCCAACATTCTATCTCGTACAAAATCGCAGATCTTACCGCATTCCAATATAACTTTCCCTTTAGCTTGAACGGTACCTTTGCATCACATAAAACACCCTATACATTTCTCCATTTCATCCATCCAGCTTGAATATGATGATTTACATCCCCTTCTATTTCTCCATTATTCTGTAATACAGGTCCAAAATATTTAAACCGTGTGACTTGAGGGATAATATGGTCTCCCACTTTCACCTCTAAGTTAGAAACCTTGCTTCTTTTGTTAAACTTACATTCTATATACTCCAACTTGCTTCTACTTAGGCGAAAAGCATGTATCTCAGCGCTATCTCTTGGATTTGTTCCATGAGTACATCCAAAATTAAGGTAAAAAGGTAGGGGGCTTAGAGTTGACCTTTGATGCAAACCAATTGTGACGGGAAAATCATGTGTCTCTCCATCCTGTGTCCTAACACTAGTCGATACGCTTTCATACATATCTTGGATAACTCGAATATATGCAACCATAACCTCTTTCTTCTCTAGAGCTTTACACAGAATCTCTTTAGGCACTCTATTATATGCCTTCTCCAAGTCAATAAAAATCAAGTGTAAGTCTTGTTGGTCCATTCGATATTGCTCCGTCACCCGCCGTAATAGATAAATCGCTTCCATGGTCGATCTTCCCGATATAAAACTAAATTGATTCTCAGTAACTTGAGTCTCTTTTCTTAATCTCTGTTCAATCACTCTTTCCCATAATTTCATGGTATGACTTATAAGCTTGACTCTCCTATAATTTGCACAATTTTGTAAAGCGTTTTAATTTTTTAATTAAAAAAAAATTAAAAAAAAAAAAGTATACTACATGAAGAATGATAGGGTTAAAGTTATATTTTATGGTTTAGAAGTTTAGAGGATGAGGATAGTGATGTAGATCTGGAAAACACCCCAAGCTATACTACATGAAAAAGGGAAAAAAAGTTGACAAGAAACTGAATGAAAATGTGTTTGTAAGTAGATCCATGAGACCGAAAATTGTATATTGTTATTTATATGTTATATAATGTCATATAATGAAAGGAAATTTCGTTTATTTTGTAGTGAATCCCTCATAAGGTGATGATGATCTTTATGCACAAGTTTAATAGACGTGTAAAACTGGTTGATTCGAGCACTGGAAATAGCTACGGTTGCGAGCTTCGCGTAGTAGAAAGGAAGCATTATGTTGAAAAGTTTACAGGTGATGGTTGGAATGAGTTTGTCTTGGACAGACGACTAAATACATGTGATAAGGTTGCTTTCAAACTTAGCGATCCTCCCGACAAAAAGATTGTTGTTACCATTTTGAAAAATTGAAGAATTGTTTTGGCAAAGAAGTGTCCGGGTGTAGAAGTGAGAGGAGTTATGCTAGGTTGTTTTGGATATGCCTAAGAAAATGGTTTAGAAGTATTTTTGAAATTGTTATTAAAGAACTATGAATATAATGTATGTATTTTGTAATTTGGTAATGCTTCAGGCTTTAAAATTTGGTAATCATAAATGCATTCACCTTGCATTGGGTTTATTAATGTTATGTTTGGTATGTTATATCACCATCCGTTTTGGTTGGTATTTAAAAGAATTGTAATTTTGTGAAAGAAATCTGAAATGGATGTTGATCATAGGCTAAAATATGGAAGTTATTATTGAATTCAATTTTACTTTTTCCTAAATAGATAGTAGTTACACGATAAAAAATGTTGTACCATATAGATAAATTACTAATACAACATAGTGAGGAGATAAGTTATGATTCCGGATAACGAAAATATGGATATTTTTATAGTGTAAACGAAAGAGTCAAGTGACATATTAAATGCTACATAAAGTAAAAACATGTGACATTGTATAAAAATTTAGTATGTAGAAAAAAAGGCAAAAAAATAATACAAATTTAAACAGTATGTAAAAAAATTAATAAGAAAGAAAAATAATATAAAATAGATTAAAAAATTATCAAATAAATGCAATTATATATAGCTTGTAAGGTCATACAGATATACATAAATTAAAAAGGCAAGAAGCATCAGTAAGTTGTGTTTGTACATCCAAGTTAAGAAAAATGGCAAGCAAGACTCCTATGACTTTTGAGGAAGCAAGGTAAATTGGCACCAGCATAAGAAATGTGTTGCATGTTTTTGTAGTTGAATCACTTATACTTAATGGTATTAACTTGTTATGTGATATTGTTCTTGCAGATCTATGGAAGAGTTGCAATGGAGAAGACAAAGGCTTGACATGGTGTACCTTAAACACCTCGAGGAGGTTAAAAGATACAACAAAGTGAAGTTAAAAGCACCGCAGGCCAAACATTTATCACCAGTAAAGGTTGATGCGCACCAAGAAGTCAAAGATGGAGGACCATCCGTTGGTGGTGGTGAACTGACACCCAAAAAAGATGGTGGATCCTTGTTTGATAGTGTTGGGTTAGGGCATGCAGGTGTAGATCCAGTGAAAAATGGAGATAATCGAGTGGGATCGGTTGTTGAGTTATACGGGGCAGCTAAAACATCCCTTATTTCAGAGAAATCTGTGGATAAAAAACCAGCATCATCTGTTTCCAGCGGTGGTATAGCAGATAGAGTTAAAGATCAAAAGAGAAAAAGGATTGAAACCAATGAAGATATTGTGAATACTGTTGGTGTTATTGAGAAAAGGAATCTAAATTTAACACTAATACGTAAAAAGTGGAAACTGTATGAAAAAGAAAGAAGTCGTCGCGACGTGAAGTGGTTGTTTTGAAGTGCAAGTTTAAGGTGAAAGATATATTTGAAGATTCCAATGGATTAACATACACAAATATTTGCTCTGACATTGATGGGTAAGTGATGAAGTACGAAAAGCGTTAGATTGTTTCTAATATGTGTGTCTACTTTATATGTTGTTGATTATGTTTTAAAATGTTGAAAATATAAATTTGCAATAATGCTGTAATGGTTAAATTTATGATGTAGTAGTGATGAAGCAGAGAATGAGGGTGACAACAACAGTGGTCCCTGGTACTATTTATGGAAAAAGGAAATCTCTTGTGGAACGACGACAACCAAAAATGTGCTGGTAAGTAGAATAATTATTCCATATTATTAAATCTCTTATGGATACTGTATGTTTTGTGTGTTGTGAAGCCATTTGATATTAGACTTGATAATTGTATCAATCATCCCCTAATATTATATAACTCAAAGTAAGTCAGTATGATTCCATATATTGAAAGTAAATATTTTTTATGACGTGTAGCAACTTCCACAAAAGATTATCAAGGAGTGCATCTCAAATGTCCAGGGCCATATTCAGTTAGTGGACTTGGCCACAAGTAATATTACTGAATGCAAACTGCATTGTGCTGAAAGGGTGTATTGCACTGAAAGATACATTGGTAAGGAGTGGTGTGAATTTGTTAAGAAGAAAAGTTTAAGAAAAGGTGATAAGGTTGCATTTTGACTCCATAACCCTCCATCAAGTAGGGTTGTTGTCACCCTTTACAAACGTCAACAGTCGTAGAAGGAAGTTGAATGAAGGGCATTGATGAAGAGGAAAATGGTGTTGATTGCTGCAGTGAAGTTTATTAGTACTTTATCAGTTTAAGTTAATATTTTGAAAGCTACAGAAGTAGAAAAAGTGGAATGTATTTTGTGTAATATGAACAATTAATGTTG